TCTGATTTTCCCAAGGCCACCCAAGAAAGCTGTGGCAGAATAGGTTCTTGATCCCCAAGTTTAAGCATTGTGTCCTAATCACAAGATCCCTCTTGTTCAAAATATAATATATTATTCAGTATATACACACATACATAATGACGGTCACTCATATTCAGGTATGACTACTACTGATACTAGAAATCAATTTCCGTATGTAGGGTTCAGGAGACGTGCCAGGGCAAATTGGTGTCTACGTTCTCTCCTGCTATTGGCCAAAGTGTTGTGATGATGTTCTGTTGATCATTCTGCTTCCTTTGTAATGGAGTGCCAAGCTCACCTATCATGGGCCATATCCTCCCAAGACATTAAGTCTAGTCTAGCAGACTGTATGTGCTGCCTAATGTAGTCCTTGTAGTGGAGTTTGGGATGGCCAACCTTCCTACTGCTTTTTTCAAATTGACTGTACAGAACTCTTTTAGGCAGTCGATTGTTGTCCATACCTGTGACATGGCCAACCCAGGTCATTTGTCTCTGTGCTAGCATGGCTTCCATGCTTGGCATGGCTGCCGGTCATAGTATTTCGTTGTTGGTGATTTTGTCCGACCATTTAATTCCCATTATGCTGCATAGGTGGCATTGCTGCAAGCAGTTAAGTTTTTTGATATGGTGACAATAAGAGGACAGGTCTGTAACGAGTACAGGAGACAAAGGAGCATAACAGCTGTGAAAATTAGGGATTTTGTAGATACTTTGACCCCCCCACCCCCATCTTGTTTACAGTCTTTTTTGTCCATAGTCTTTTATGCATTCAAACATATATCATCTCAGTGACAATGATCTCAGTTGCTGTAGTTCTTTCACAATTAGCAAATCTGAGTACATGGAAATTGAAGAGGATATGAATAATAGCATAAACAGTTTTAGGGAGGCTGATCTCAAAACTGGCAACTGCACCATACTTATGTCTGTATGTCTGTGTGTACATAAAAGACTATGGACAAGATGGGGGGATGTCAAAATGTCTACAAAATGGCAAGTTTACAGAGCTGTTGTGCTACCTTGTCTACTAGACTCATTAGAGAACTTCTCCCTTTTTCGTCGCTGTATAAAAAACTTAACTGCCTGCAGGATTGCAACCTAACCAGCATAATGGTAATTAAATGTATGTATGTATGTGTGTGTGTGTGTGTGTGTATACATAAAAGACTATAGACAAAATGTCTATGGACAAGATGCAGGGTCTACCAAATGCCACATTTACAGAGCTGTTGTTCAAGCAGGGGGGCTGGACCCAATGATCTCACTAGGTCCTTTCCAGCCCTAAACTTCTGTGAAGCTGTGAATATATATGTTGAACTGTCCAGCTTTTGCAGCCATGAGGGGCAATATGCCTGAGTTATTCATGCAAAGGTAGGCATCTGGGTTCTGTATGCAAAAATAATCCAATGTATTGAATATATTGTTCCTGGTATATCTTGGAGACAGCTCTGGACAGAGAAACATCAGAGAATGGAATTCACAGTGGTAAAAGGAGGTTGAGTCTAGTGGCACAGCAGAATTTATATAGAGCACTGAATAGTCTTCTGCTCTTTCACTTTCTGTTGGTTCAGCCCCCAGCACCAAGCCATCCTGGCCTGCCACCAGGACTCTCAGGGGAACTAAAACAATATATAGCAGTTACCAGGCACTACTGTCACTTACAAGTAAAGACCATTAGCGAAGAGTTGGTAGTAGATTATAGTGTTTCTCAACCAGTGGGTCACGGCCCAAAAGTGGGTCACAAGAAAATATGAAAGGGTCGCAAACAAATTTTAAAAATGGATTCTCCTTTAAAGCAGAAAAACATGGGAAACCATGGCTTTTCCATTGCAGGCTGGTAGACTTCCACCTATCCCCCCACCTACGCATTGTGGGAGTGGGGGCAGGGGGCAGGGAGTTGGGAGTGAGGGGCACTGAGTGGGGACTGGCCATTGATATTTACAAATGGGTCCTGGTACGAAAAAGGTTGAGGACCACTGGAGTAGAAGACCTCCTCCCTCCCTTCTGGGAAGGTAGAATCATCCCATCTCCTGCCTGGGGCATAAACTGCTTGCTGCAGAGAGGGATCTTCCTTTTGCTGTCTTGTGGCGGGGAGAATTTGGGATCCCTGAACACCACCTCATGCTGGATTAGCTTGCTTGGTGGGTTCCTGACAAAGCTGTTTAGCACAGCGTAAGCCAGCAGAGAGAGGGTGAAGTGATGCTAGACTCAAAAAGGCTGCATGCTCTAGCAGGGAGACAAGGGAAGGAAAGCAAAGGTCCACGGGGCCATGTGATCAGGTATTTTTACATTGCCAAGGTGGCAACCTTAAATGAACTTAATAGTTTATGCAGCGAAACACCAGCCAGGCCAGGGCTGTTAAACCTTGGCCGGGAATTAACTAACTCCAAACGCTTCCAATTATACTTCTTCATCCAGTAAAGGTGGCAAGAGGAGGGAGCGACCCCCTCTTCTCCCCCAGCTTGGCTTGGAGGGCCTCTGGTGCTCCATGAAGCGGGCAGGAGGCTTCCTGGACTGGGCCTAGGGGAGTGACACCGCTCGGGTGAGAGGAGGGAGGTGATGACATGACAGGGCTTCTGCCTCTGCTCTCCTAGGGATGGGATGTGGCAGGGCAAGGAGCACAGGCCAGGGTGCTCTGCTACACACTGTGCCTGCAGCCTTGCTCCTCCCTCCCTCCCTGGGCAGCCCTGGTCCCCTCCGCTGAGGGGCCCACGGGCATGCCCAGTGTGTGTGTGTGACAGAGAGCGAGTGGGGGGGGGAGGAGGGATAGTGTGTTTGTGTGAGTGTAAGAGGGACTGTGTGTGTATAAGAAGGGGAGTGGGTGAGTGTGTGCGTGTGAGTGACAGTTTGTGTAAGAGGGACAGTGTGTGTGTGTATAAGAAGGGAGAGTGTGTGTGGGAGAGACAGAAAGAGAGAGGACAGTGTGTGTGTGAGTGCAAAGGGACTCTATGTGTGTATAAGAAGGGAGTGTGTGAGTGTGAGGGACAGTGTGTGTGTGTGACAGTTTGTGTAACAGGGACAGTGTGTGAGGGGGCAGTAGTTGTGTGAGTGTAAGAGGGACTCTGTGTGAGTGTGTGTGTGAGGGGCAGTTTGTGAAAGAGGAACAGTGTGTGTGTGTGTGTGTGAGGGGGTGTGAGAGAGAGAGAGAGAGGACAGCGGGTGTGAGTATAAAGGGGCTCTGTGTGTAAGAAGGGAGTGTGTGTGTGTGTGAGCGAGGGACAGTGTGTAAGAGGGACAGTGCGTGTGCGTGGCAGAGGGGGCAGCCCCGGGAGCGGGCTGAGGCGGGGCAGGCGTAGCAGAGCGGCCGCAGCGCGGGGCTGGAGGGTGCAGCACCCGGAGGCTGCCGGAGCCCCACGTGTGGCCGCTCCGGGCCGGGGCCGCTCTGCAGACGCTGTCCTGTGCCCCCGCGTGTTTGCCCCAGCCGGCCGAGCTGCTCCACTCACCTCCACGTGTGGCGGGGGACGAGTTCAGCCGAGCAGAGCCCGCGGGGGAGGCGGGGGTTTGACCTCCAGAGGTGCAGTGGGCGGAGTCACAGAGCGAGGCACATCCCCTGCGCGGCCCCTCTGCTCCCCAGGGTGGGGGGGTCCCGCCTTGC